GTTTGTGTGTGTGTTTATTTATATACAAGAACCTAGATCAGAGAAGCCCATTTATTGTTCATGGAAATAAGGGTAGCCCGAGTAGAATTGTAGGTGTGGTTCCTCATTCTAAAATTCTTCTGAGAGCTACATGATGCTTTTATCTGTACATGCAACCATGCTTCCATCACAGGAGAGGTAACTCTGCATTATGAATCTTGGAACTTATGAAGGACTGCTGACAAATCTGCCCCTTCTTATTCTGTGTGTGTGTGTGTGTGTGAGAGAGAGAGAGAGAGAGAGAGAGAGAGAGAGAGTGTGTTGGTATATAAACAAGTCCTCTTCATTGAGAAGGCAAAGCAATGTTTACAGGTTCTGTTGGCTTATTGCCAGGCGAGTTGAAGAATCTCTGGATTTACTATCCTAGAATGTGAGCAAATGGCTCTGGAGCAATGCTCAATCTCTAACTTCCAAGGGAAGTTGTCATTCAATCTCCTGTAATCCAGGTTGCCATTTCAATTTTTTTCTGAAAATCCTTGTCAGGTAGAAACATGAAAATATTCATGGATCATTGAATTCCACCAGGATTGGAGGAGGAGGGAAAGAGGTCAAGGAGGAGAGCTGTGGAGTGGGGTCTCTGGTGATAGAGAGCAAAGGAGGTGTAAGAGCGTAGGGTGGGCTTGGGTTTTTGGATGGCTGCTGGAGCTTCAGAGATTGTCTCAGGTTAGGCTCAGGAGGTCTCAGAGCTGATATGATTCGGTTTGTGTGTGTGTCGGGGGGGTGTCTTATTTCTCTCCAGGATGAAGATGGAAAACAATTGTCAGACAAGGACATCCGAGCTGAAGCTGACACATTTATGTTTGAGGGTGAGCATCCCAGTGTGGGACTATAGGGGGGCAGGGGTTTGTCCAATCCCAAGGACTTGGCAGGTTGGCCCTGGACCACCCCATCCTACCTCATCCTCCCCATCCCCCCTGACGCCCTTAATTAAGGGTGCTGTCCACCCTCTGGTGCTGAATAAGCCCAGAGATGTAAGTCTGGCTGCCTCTCAGGCCATGACACCACAGCCAGTGGCCTCTCCTGGGTCCTGTACAACCTTGCAAAGCACCCAGAATACCAGGAACGCTGTCGGCAGGAGGTGCAAGAGCTCCTGAGGGACCGTGAGCCTCAAGAGATTGAATGGTGAGTGCAGGTCGTCATGGTTTTTTCCTGAACCTCTCTCATTGGCTTTGTTCCCTAGTTGGGGAAGGGGAAGAATCTTTTGGTTAATTCTGTCATTATTGCTTAGTGAAAATAGGAGCAGAGCTCAGAGACAGGTCTGTACCCAGTCTGGAGAGCAGGGGAAAGTGAGAAAGATCTGGGCTGCTGAGAGAATTAGTGACAATGTATGAAGGCAGATGATGCCACTTAGTACATATTCAGTAAGTGAACTTCCACTCCATTCTCTTACTTTTCTCTCTTAAATCACATTTTTACCCCTGAACATCTTCACTCCCTAAATGTTTGTTTCTCTCTTGCCTTCTAATTTCTTCCATATCGTTCAGTCCAGGATTCGTTTGGGATATGTGGTTTTAAAATCATTCGGTTCTTGTCCAGGAACACCTGCATCTTCATCCATCCAACCCCCATTCAGAGAACACTGCCACACTGCCTTTCTATTCCCAGTTCCGTACCTTCTCCAATTCTTACTAGTCCATACTGTGTCCTGGAGACCCAGGAAGGAACCTGCCCTGGCCCTTGTCTTCCAAGAGCTCTAGACTGGTGGGGGAATTGTGTCAGGTCAGGACACTCCTGGTCCACATGGGCTGGACTAGGGTGGAGAGTATGAGAGGCAAGGCTAAGGGTAGAGAGGGTGCCTCTGCTGAGACACTGAGTGATGATCAGTAGATATTTGGGTGTAGTTGGGGTGCAGTTAGTTCAAGAGGACAGAGTGGGCAAAAGTGAAGAGGAGTGGAGGAAGGGAAGAGGGAAAGGGAGAAGAGAGGGGGAAGGAGGGAGAAGGGGGAGACAGAGAGAAAGAAGGGAGGAGGGGGAGGAGAGAGAGAGAAAGAGAGGCAGACAGGCAGACACACAGGGGCAGACAGAAAGAAAAAGAGAAAGAGACACTGACTCATGGTGAGGTGATGTGGCTGGGGAATGGCACCAGAGGCTGGTTGTGGGAGACTTTAGAAGCAATGTCATTGGTTTCAGTTGTTAACCCAAGGGCAATGGGGAACTGTGGAATTGTTTGAGCAGGAGGAAGACAGGTCAGATCTGGGTACCAGGAAGATCTTTCTAGGGCTAGTGTGGGGAACATACTGGAGAGGACAAGCTGCAGGATGGGGACCAGGGAGGGGATTCTGAGGTCTGGGGCAGACCAGGGGCTTGGGGATGTTGAGCAGGCATTGAACTGGACATGCATCTTGTAGTAGTATTTTCCACTCCAAGCCTTCACTCAGCACAGTGGTCCTGGGGGATAGAGTACAGAAACACTTTTATGCTGTTTCAACCAAGATTTCAAACAAAACTATACACTTGATTTAAAAAATGTATATAAAGAGAATTTTTTAAAAAGATTTTATTTATTTATTTGACAGAGAGAGACACAGCAAGAGAGGAAACACAAGCAGGGGGAGTGGGAGAGAGAGAAGCAGGCTTCCCTTGGAGCAGGGAGCCCAATGCGGGGCTTGATCCCAGGACCCCGGGATCATGACCTGAGCCAAAGGCATACGCTTAATGACTGAGCCACCCAGGTGCCCCTGTGAAAGAGAGTTTATAATCAGGGCACCTGGGTGGCTCAGTTGGTTAAACATCTGACTCTGGATTTTCACTCAGGTCATGGTCTCGGGGTTGTGAGATTGAGCCCCATGTCCGGCTCCATGCTCAGCGTGAAGTACGCTTAAGATTCTCTCTCTCTCTCCCCCATCCCCCTCCCCCCTCAAATAAATTAATAAATTTTTAAGAGAAAGAGTTTATAATAGAAATGAACTTTTAAAAAAAAATCTTCACTCTAGGACTAACTCCTGTCAATGATTTCCTATGTGTCCTTCCAGAAGACCTCTATCCTTATACCTACATTTATATGAAAACTATCTCCTTACCCCATCCAATGGGAATTAAGGTCTATACATTAGCAACGTGTCTTTGAGATCTTTTCTTTTCCTCAAAACATGAGTGTTGGAAAAGTAGTTTTGAATTACAAAAACAATGACGAGAACAAGTTCTTCTTGACCTGAGACATTATAAAGGAGACTACAGTTATCATTGACTTCCTGCCCCCCAACTGAATGCCCTCCTGTCTCCCTAGGGGTTTCCAGATTCATTGATTTGTCATGTGTCTTTCCATAACTATCTGTCTTTCTATACATCTATTATCTATATCATCTATATCTATCATCTGTCTCTCTCATCTTTTTGTCCATTAACACAATTTGCATTTCTGTATACATACAGTTTGTAACTTGTTCTATTCACTCAACAGTGTGTCTTACAGCTCTTTCTTTCTGTGTGCTGCATAGCTGTCCATAGTGTACTTGGTTCACCCCTTTAGGTCACTCATGTTGGTATTCTCAATTATACTAGACATTGCTGAATTGCCTTCCAGAGTCTCTGCGCTGATTTACTTTTCAGCCTGCAGTGTGTGATAGGACTTGTGAGCCCTAATTCCTTCTTTTTGATTGCTGTGTAATATTCTACCATAATGTCTGTGACATAATTTATCTAAATCTCTCCCACTGGTGGATATTTAGATTGTTTCTAGCCTTTGGCTAAAATAAACACAGGATAGTCAACACCTGTGAACAGTGACCCACGCTTACACATGTGAACATCTCTCCACTGCGAATTTCCAGAAAGGCAATTGCTGAGTCAAAGACAGTCTGAGTTTTTGTCATTTTGATAGCTATTACAAATCTACTCCTGTCAGCCGAATTTGATGTTGTCAGCTTTCCCATACCTTTACCTATGGTATTATTGTATTGAATTTTTAATCTTTGCCAATTTTTCATATTTCCTCTTTTTATGAACATTTCTTTAAATAAGAGGTTTAACATCTTTTGCACATTTTGGGGGGCTACTCCCAACACTTTTTAATATTGAGGTATAATTGACATACATTCTATTACTTTCAGGTGTACAACAGATGAGTTGATATTTGTATATATTGCAAAATGATCAACACAAATAGTCTGGCTAATATTTGTCACCATACATAATTATGGAATTTTTTTTTTCGTGTGATGAGAACTTTTAAGATCTACTCCCTTAGCAACTTCCAAATATGCAATACAGTATGATTACCTACAGTATTATTAACTATAGTCAATACAGTATTATTAATGAAAATACAGTAACTATGTAATGCTGTAGATAACATCCCTATGACTTAATTATTTTATAACTGGAAGTTATTACCTTTTGATTCCTTCACCCATTTTCCTCCCACCCCCCACCTCTGGCAACAACCAATCTGGTCTCTGTATCCATGAGCTTGTTTTTGTTGTTTGTTTGTTTCTTTAGATTCTACCTATAAGTGAAATCATATGGTATTTATCTTTCTTTGTCTGACTTATTTCCTTAGCATAATGCCTGTAAGGTCCATCTATATCATTGCAAATGGCTTGATATCTTTTTTTATGGCTGAGTAACATTCCATTGAATATATATCACATTTTCTTTACCCATTCATCCATTGATGGGCACAAGTGGTTTTCATAACCTTGGCTATTATTAATAATTCTCCAGTGAACATGGGGTTATATATACACTTTCTGAGTTAGAGTTTTCATCTTCTCTGGATAACTACCCAGAGGTGAGATTGCTGGATAGTGTGGTGGTTCTGTTTTTTAATTTTTTCGAGGAAACGTCATACTGTTTTCCACAGTGTCTGAATCCATTTACAGTCCCACCAACTGCACAGGGTTCCTTTTTCTCCACATCCTCATCAGAATTTGTTATCTCTTGTGTTTTTAATAATAGCTATTCTAACAGTTGTGAGGTGTGAGGGGAGATCTCATTGTAGTTTTGGTTTGCATTTCCCTGATAATGAGTGATTTTGAGCACCTTTTCATGTACCTGTTGGCCATTCGTGTGTTTTCTAAACACGTCTATTTGGATTTTTCTTCTGCACACGTTGATAAGCCATTTGTCTTTCACTTTATGTGAGTGGTACTCACCTTTTTGTTGTTGTTGTTGTTGTTTCTCTTTGAGGTTTTCTCTTTTTTCATATTTACTTATAATAACTCACTTAAAAAAGGAATCCTTTTCTCTCTTGTGTTGCAAAAGATTGCCTTTTGACTTTTGAGGGGCACTTTTGGTTAATTTTTATGGAGACAAATTTGTCCAAATTTTCTTTCACAGCCTTACTGTCTATCCTTATTCTAGGGTTTTGTGGGCTTCCCTTACCAGATGTTAAGGCTTCAGTTACTCACATTTTCTGTTGCATGGGTCTCTTTTCCTGTTCTTGCAGCACGGCCACACTGGGTGTTTGCTTGTTTGATCACTGCACCTTTGTGGTAGGTCTTAATATCTGGTAGAGTGAGTTTCTCTTCCTTAATCTTTCATTTTTATTTTTTAACAATTTAAAAAAGATTTTATTTATGAGAGAGAGAGAGTGCACAAGCAGGGGAAGAGGCAGAAGGAGAAGCAGAATCCCCACTGAGCAGGGAGTCCAATGCGGGGCTTGATCCCAGGACCCTGGGATCATGACCTGAGCTGAAGGCAGATGCTTAACCAACCGAGCCATCCAGGCGCCCTTTCATTTTTATTTTTATTATTTTTAAAGATTTATTTATTTATTTGAGAGGTGGGAAGGGGCAGAGGGAGAGAGAACCTTAAGCAGACTCTGCGCTGAGCATGGAGCCTGACATGGGGCTCGATCCCACAAACCTGAGATCATGATCTGAGCTGAAATCAAGAGCTAGATGCTCAACCAACCACCCAGGCACCCCCTAATCTTTCATTTTTAAATTGACCTAACCCTTCATGATCTTTTATCCTTCCAGAAATGTTTTAGAGTAAGGTTATCAAATTCCTAAAGGTATCAGGTAGATTTTCACTTGAACTGAATATATTCTATTGGTTGAGTTAAATATATGATTGACTTGTGGAAACAGATTACTTCATGATATGAACACATACCATCCTAGATTGTGGAAGGAATACTCCCATTTTTGGATACTTGAATACTTTTAGTCTTTTGATAAAGTCTAAAATTTTTTCATAGAGATCTTATGCATATTTTGTTAAATTAACTCTAAGACACTTCTGTTGCTATGCTGACTCATATCTTCTATTTGTATTGAGAGAAGTTTAAAAATTCATTGGAATATACAGATTTCAATCTCTATATTTTTGGGGGGCTAAGCTTAATCCAGGTATTTATATCATCATCATCATCATCTTTTCTTTTATCTTTTCTAATTGATTGTTATTTCAACATGGAAAACTAATTTAAAAAAGATTTTTTTATTATGTCATTTAGTCACCATATAGTACATCATTAGGGAAAACATTTTTTTAATATGCATGTAAATTTTGTGTCCAGTGAACCTAGTAAATTGTAAGCATGGAGTCTCATATTAAAAAAAATTAAAAAGCTCTTGGAATAACTGGGGAGCTATCCAGAAGAAAGTTAATTCAACTTGCGTCTCATGTCTTGTAATAATATAACATCAAGATGGAATCAAATATTTAAAATAAAAATTTTTTAAATAAAATTAAAATTTTATTTTAAACAAAATAAAAAAATAAAAGTGTCTTAAAAGCTCTAGAGGAAACTGTGGGAAATTATTTTATAATTCCAGAATATGGATGCCTTTCTTCTTGACACAAATCCCAAGAAATATACAAGAAGAGAATGCTATACTGTTGAATGAAAAAGATACAGAGCAGTGTGCATAATATATAGTATGCTACTCTAAAAATCTTTTAATGCAAAAAAGTAACTCTGAAAGGATAAATAAAAAATCAGAACCTAAGCAAACTGTGAGAATGGGAAATGAGTGGTGTTGAGTCAGAGGGGTGGTGTTTTATAGTTTTCCAGTTTGAACCAGTTAACTGTATGAGCTGTTAAAAATTTAAATCGCCACACAATTTGAAGGGGATTAAAGAAAAAGAATCTGGGATGCCTGGGTGGCTCAGTCGGTTAAGCGTCTGCCTTCGGCTCAGGTCATGATCCCGGGTCCTGGGATCGAGTCCCACGTCGGACTCCCTGCTCCGCAGGGAGCCTGCTTCTCCCTCTGTCTCTGCCTCTCTCTCTCTGTTTCTCATGAATAAATAAATAAAATCTTTAAAAAAATAAAGAAAAAGAATCTAACCCCCTTACTTTATCTTCAATGTTTATAAAGGTTTTCTGGTGTATTCTCTTGTGTTTTCTAAGCATAGAATCACTATCTGCCAAAAATGACACATTTACCCCTACATTTCAGATTGCATTACTCTCCTTTTTTCTCTTGTCTAATTGCATTAGCTAGTATCTTTAATACCATGATAGAAAGAACATTGGATCTGTTTTTGTTGTTTCTCACTCATTTGGCTTTTGATTTTGCTCTCTTGCAAGAAACAATATGTGATTTTTATGCAAATTTGTAAAACTTTTTATGGTTGGCTTTTGGGTGCCGTGTTTTGCTCAGAAAACCTAAAAACACCCAGCTAAATTTTCTTTTCTTTTATGATATTGCTTTTCTTTTTTCTTTTTTAAAAACCACTTTATTGAGGTATGATTGACATAAAAAGCTGTACATATTTAATGTACAAAACTCAATGAGTTTGGAGATATTTGATCCATCTGGAATTTATTTTGGTATAGGGAGAGGGGATCTCATGGGGCAGTAGAGGACTGGGGGGGGAGGGTCTCTGTTTTTGCTGCCTGGATAATTGTTGGGGGGCTTCCTTAGGGACGACCTGACCCAGTTGCCCTTCCTGACCATGTGCATCAAGGAGAGTCTGAGGCTGCACCCCCCGGTTATAGTCATTGCCCGCTGCTGTACCCAGGACATCAGGCTCCCAGATGGCCGGGTCATCCCCAAAGGTGCCCACAACCTCAGGGGGAGGATCCTCCTGGGTAGGAAGAGGGGCCCATCAGGCAGAGGGAAACTTCCTGACTGGTCCCTCATCTCCCACAGGTGTTACCTGCCTCGTTAATATTTTCGCGACCCACCACAACCCATCCGTGTGGCCAGACCCTGAGGTGCTGCCTCCCCCTCCGTCCCCACGGCCCACCCACCTCCTTGTCTATTCCCCCAGGGGGACCTAGGGGAGGGCGCAGGGTTCTGACCTGGCAAATCAAACATCACCTTCCACCATCAAACACAAGTCTGCCCTTCCCAAGCTGGCTGTCCTGGGAAACCCCATCCAGCAGCCCTGCCTCTCTCTGCCCCCAGGTATACAATCCCTTCCGCTTTGACCCAGAAAACATCAAGAAGATGTCGCCCTTGGCTTTTATTCCCTTCTCTGCAGGCCCCAGGTGAGCGCAGTGGGCAACTGAGGCGGGACGGGGTGGTGGGGCCAGGGGTCTGGGACTGAGATCCCAGACATGGCTGTGAGGGCGTGAAAGGGGGAAATTGAGGATGGCTCTCCTCTCCCCTCTTCCAGAGGTTAGAGGTAAGCGTTTGGGAAGTGGAGGTTGCGTGGGTCTAACAAGGGCTCCTCGGTGTGGGCAGAGCCCCTTCCCCCTGTCTGCTGGCCTGAGTTCAGGGCTGGGGTCTGGGCCAACCTCAGGGGTTAGGCAAGCCCACATGGGGGTCCCAGGCACGGTTAGCCCCCTTATGGATCCCTGCGGGCGGGACTAGGGGTCCCAACCCAAGTTCTGGGTGCGATGGGACCTGCTGGGGTCCCTGGTGAGTCAGAGCCCCCACTTCGGCCCTCAGGAACTGCATTGGGAAGACGTTTGCCATGACCGAGATGAAGGTGGTCCTGGCGCTCACGCTGCTGCGCTTTCGGGTCCTGCCCAACGAGGAGGAGCCGCGCCGGAAGCCAGAGCTCATCCTGCGCGCAGAGGGTGGACTTCGGCTGCGCGTGGAGCCGCTGAGCTCGGGCCCCCGGTGACCCGCCAGCTCGTGGCTTGGGATCCACCCAGCACCTACACGCCTCGCTTTGCAGAATCCCAGGAATAAAACTTTGAGGTCTCCTCTGCCCGAGCCTCATCGAGAGCCAGCAGGGGGCGCTTGGGACCTGATGGAACACTAGGGTCGGGGAGGCCAGGTGGAGAGGAGGCTGGTGTCTGAGCCCAAGACCCTGACAGTCTTTCCAGCTGACCACAGGCCCCCATGTTGATTGCGGGTTCTCCCAGAATCCAACCCTGTGGTCACTCCAGATTTCCAAAGAACAGACAGAAAATAGAACAAAGAAAAGCATGCTAAAACTCTAACCTAAGTGGTCTCAATTCAATAACTGGGAAGGGGTCTTCAAACTGCCTGCCAGCACTCCATCTATATGATGTGGTTTGAAGTTTGGGGCTCGGAGCTTCCCCCCGCCCCGAAAGAATTCTTGAAGTCTTTGGTGCAAAAAGGTGGTTTTATTAAAGCACGGGGATAAGAGCTGCTGCCCTGGGATTGTGAGGAGCAGCAGATTATATACTTTGTGAGTTTGGGGAGGTAGAGACAAAAGGAAATATCCAAAAATGAGTTTCATATGGTAAAGAGTCACAGGATACTAGAGGCCTAGGTATTATCAAGCTAAGGTTGTTTTTTTTCTCTAGCATTAATATTAAGAGAGTTGGGAGTTTCCTGGAGGAACGGTATACTCTGCCTGCCTGAAGTATTTGTCAATAGGCTGCAGGTCATAAAGATATTTAATCTTATCTACATTTCCTTCTGCCTTTGTTCCCCACATCATTCCCCCCTGAACAGTTTTGGCCCTTAAATCTTTGAGGTTGCCGGGGATGGAAGTCTTCTGTAACTTCTTCCTGCTGAATAGGGGCATAGAGATGTTCTTACCTTTGGGTCAACATTGGTCAGCTGGGGAATTTATACATAGGAATTACCAAAGACAGAGGCTGCCAAACCAAGGTAGATAACATATGAACCTCCTTGAGTAGAAAGGATTATCTGTCTCGTGGAAGTCATGGCAGTGAAGGAGTCTTGACACCAGATAGGGAGACACCAGAAAAGACAACAAATTAGGTTAATATTATAATGAGAAAGAGAAGCCTGAATAAAAAAAAAAAACTTTGATAATTGGTCAAAATCTTTCTCCAGTCCAGGAGTTTAACCAATCACTAAAGGACAGAGAGAGAGAGAGAGAAAGAGAGAGAGAGAGAGCATTTAAAGTGCCGTTTGAATATCTATATCTTTTTAGCAATATCTTTTTGGTGATATCTGGAATATATACCCAACATTTTGTTCTTATGGTAGCACATATTCCATCTTGTGCAGTTAAAATACCCAATACCATTTTGAAAGTCATTTAAGGCCTCGATGGCATAGCAAGTGGTGTGAGCCATCCTCTGTTTTGTTTAGCAAGTAATCAAGTAATGAATAAGAGGCACCTTTATGGAAACAAAAGAAAAAATATAGTCTAATGGTCAGAGCAAATTATAAACCTAGAGTCAAGTCTTGAGTGCTTAAAATCTAATATCTATAAAGATGTGTTGTTGAAACATTTTCTCTCTATAATAACCCTCATTTTAAATCTGAGATAGCCAAATCAGGACCAATTCATTTGAAAAATATGTCCAGTTTTATTTTATTTTTTAATTTTTAAAAAGATTTTATTTATTTATTTGAGAGAGAGAATGAGAGACAGAGAGCACGAGAGGGAAGAGGGTCAGAGGGAGAAGCAGACTCCCCGCTGAGCAGGGAGCCCGATGTGGGACTTGATCCCGGGACTCCAGGATCATGACCTGAGCCGAAGGCAGTCGCTTAACTAACTGAGCCACCCAGGTGCCCAAAACATGTCCAGTTTTAACAAACTTGACCTAATTATTTACATAAGCTTAGCAAGAATAACGTTTGGCCATATAGATCTTTCAAAATCTGCTTTGCTGGAAATTTCATAAGGAATCTCGATTGAACTTTTAGTAGCCTCTCTAGGCCAGAAGCCAAGCCAAGTGCTTGTCATCAGACATGCCTGCAATACCTGTAGGTTTGGGTGAATTCCTCTTCATGAGGTCCCTGAAGTATTCTGAGTTTCTTGCACCTGCCAGGAAGTGACATTCTCTTCTCACCTGGTGAGGCTGCTGGGAACTCCCAGCAAAGTATTAACATTGAGGCAGCCCAGGTCCCAGAGGAAGGTCACTCTCCCTGTCTCAAGGACCCATCGAATGGGCTGCAAGTAGTAAGGAAATTCATTTTTTTCTTTTGTCTTTGTTTCCCACATCATAGCCACTATGGAAAACACTATCCTCAAAATATTGAAAATAGGACTGCCACATGATCCAGCAAGCTCACTTCTGGGTATTTATCTGAAGGAATTGAAATCACTATGGCATAGTGATATCAGAACTTGCATGGTCATTGTGGCATTGTTTACAAAAGCTAAGACACTGAAATAACCTGAATATAATATGTAGTGAAAGATATATATATATATATGAAAATTGGAAATTTGGAAATTCCAATAAATTGGAAAATTGGAAATTTCAAAGCAAGAGAGCCATGATGGTATATATATATATAATATTCCATTAAAAATATATATTTTCAATGGAATATTATTCAGCCATAAAAAAGAAGGGAATCCCGTCTTTTATGGCAACATGAATAACCTTGAGGGCATTATGCTAAGTAAGATAAGTCAGGGAAAGGCAACTACTGTATGATCTCACTCATATGTAGAATGTATAAAAGCTGAAATCATAGGAAAGGATTAGATTTGTGGTGGCTAGAGGTTGGGGGTGAGGGAAATGAAATTTTGTCAAAGGTTACAAACTTTGTGACTCTAGTACCCCTCTCCTTCACATCTACTACACAACTCTCAAAACATTTAGGTGTGGCTGTACCCCAAGCTGGTTCCTCAGAAATCAGGGGAGAATCAGATCTACTTCTCTGGGCATGGAGTTCCTGGTCACCAAGTTCATTGCTTAGTTGGTGAGGCTTGGGGTCCCAGCACACCCGCATCCCACCCCCAGTATCATGGGACGGGTCCTCCTGCATCTCTCCTCCCAAGTTTTCTTGGATGAACAAAGCCTGACCAATTTTTTTTTGGGGGGGGGGATGATTTCGCTCCTCCCTGTGTTGGCCAGAGGTGTTGGGACAGTGTGGTTTTTGAGTGATTTCCTACAGTGTTGGTTCCTTCTTTCAGGTTGGGAGGTGACAACCACCATCCCAGGAATTCTCAATAATTTTTTATTACTTATAAAAAACCCCTAAAACCAACATTTAGGTGTGGCTATTCCTCTACAAGCAAAAACAGTACATACTTTTTTTTTATTGTGTTGTGTTAGTCACCATATAGTACATCACTAGTTTTTGATGTAGTGTTCAACGATTCATTATTTGTATATAACACTCAGTGCTCATTACAACACATCCTCCTTAATAAAACAAAAGCATGTGGGTGGCAGGAGAGGGAAACCCTCTTTCGCCTTTATGGGCTCCACCATCTAGGGTAATTGGAATGAGGCTTGTCTGCACAAAGAGAGGAAATAAAACCACATGTGAAAATTGGAAATTTCAGGGCGGAGCAAGATGGCGGAGGAGTAGGAGACCTAGATTTCGTCTGGTCTCAGGAATTCAGCTGAATAGGGATCAAACCATTCTGAACACCTACGAACTCAACAGGAGATCGAAGAGGAGAGTAGCAACAACTCTCTGAACAGAGAAGCGACCACTTACTGGAAGTCAGGTCACTGCTCCTCCAGCAGGGACCCAACAAGCGGCAGAGCTGGGGAGACTCCCCTTTCTCCCCCGGGAGAAGCGGCGCAGGAACGGACCTCAGGGATCTGCTGGGTTTGGAGACTCCACACGGGGTCGGGTGCCAGAGATACAAACGCTCGGTCACAGGCTGGGTGAGCACAGAGTGCAGCCAGAGACCGGGGAGATGGGAGTGACTGCTTTTCTCTGGGGGTGCACTGAGGAGCGGGGTCCCAAGTTCTCAGCTCCTCCGGGTGGAGATTGGGAGGCCACCATTTTCGCCCTGGTCCTCCAAAGCTGTACAAGAGCTTGCAGGGAACAAAACCTCCTGAGAGCAAACCCGAGCAGCTTGCTTAGCCCAGACCGACAAGGGCGGGGCAATTCAGCCTCCGGCAAAGACATTTGGAAACCATGGCAACAGGCCCCTCCCCCAGAAGATCAGCATGAACAGCCAGCAAGCCAAGACCAAGTTTACCGATCTAGGAGAACGGGAGAACTCCAGCGCTAGGGGAATACTGCACATAGAATTCATGGCTTCTTTTACCATGATTCATTAATTCATCAAAGTTAATTTTTTAACTTTTTTTTAAATTTTTCTTTTTCCTTTTTTCAACCAAATTCTTATCAATCCCTTTTTTAAAAAAAATTTATTTTTCATTTTTAAGAGTCATATTTTATCCCTTCATAGTAGTTACTCTTATTTTTGGCATATATATATATATAAGTTGTTCTCTCTTTAAAATTTTGAGATACAGTTTTTTCTAACAGATCAAAATATACCCTAAATCACTAGTGTATGGCTTTGTTCTAGTCTCCTGCCTGATCACATTCTCTCCTTTTTTTCCATTTTTTTTTAAATCTTCTTCTTTCTTTTTTCAAACAACTTATCTTATCAATTCCTTTTATAAAATCTTTTATAATTTTCATCTTTACAGTCATCTTCCATCCCTTCATTGTATCAACCCTTATTGGGTACATATATGTCTTTCTTCCTTTAAAATTTTAGGAGGCACTTTTTTTCTAACAGACAAAAATACGCCCAAAATCTAGTGTGTGGCACTGATCTATGCACTAGCCTGATCATATTCTGCTTTTTTTGTATTGTTCTGTTTTTGTTTTTATCTTTTTTTTCTTTTATTCTCTCTTTCTTATTTCTTTCTTTCCCTTTCTTTTCCCCTGGTTTCAGGTCTTTTCTGATTTGTGTACAGTATATTTGCTGGGGACATTGTTAACCTGTTAGTATTTTGTTCTCTCATTCATCTATTCTCCTCTGGACAAAATGACAAGACGAAAAAAACCACCTCAGCAAAAAGAAAAAGAGGTAGTACCGTCAGCCAGGGACCGACTCAATACGGACATTAGTACGATGTCGGATCTAGAGTTCAGAATCATGACTTTAAAGATACTAGCTGGGCTTGAAAAAAGCATGGAAGTTATTAGAGAAACTCTTTCTGGAGAAATAAAAGAACTAAAATCTAACCAAGTTGAAATCAAAAAGGCTATTGATGAGGTGCAATAAAAAATGGGGGCACTAACTGCTAGGATAAATGAGGCAGAAGAGAGAATCAGTGATATAGAAGACCAAATGATGGAAAGTAAAGAGGCTGAGAAAAAGAGAGAGAAACAACTACAGGATCACGAGGGCAGAATTCAAGAGATAAGTGATACAAAAAGATGAAACAACATTAGAATAATTGGGATCCCAGAAGAAGAAGAAAGGGGCAGAAGGTATATTGGAGCAAATGATAGCAGAGAACTTCCCTCATATGAGGAAGGAAACAGGCATCAAAATCCAGGAGGCACAGAGAACCCCTCTCAAAATCAATAATAATAGGTCAACACCCCGACATCTAAGAGTAAAACTTACGAGTCTCAGAGACAAAGAGAAAATCCTGAAAGCAGCTCGGGAGAAGAGATATGTAACCTACAATGGTACAAATATTAGATTGGCAACAGACCTATCCACAGAGACCTGGCAGGCCAGAAAGGACTGGCAAGATATCTTCAG